AGAGTCTCTGAATTATTTAAAATGTTTCTTCCCAGCTTCCTTATCACCTGCTATATGTACAACTGCTATATGTACAAGAAGCTATCATTAGACTTGCCTTCTATCTCTTGACTGCTTACGGTCCACTCTTCTATTATAGCTCCACAAACTCTTACATCTTTGTTAAGGAAAAAAACAGTATTCATATACATATTACTATGTCATTTAATGAGCAAACTACAACTGTACATTAACATGTCTACAGTTTATACCATCTACACTTGCAGTCTTACTGTTTTTTAACATTTCCCCATTTATAGCATTGATTTAAGTTCCACATTTCAGCATTATAAATCTTTCAAATACTCCTTGGTTCAGTTTTATGCCAATAATTTAATCATATTTAATATTTATTATATTCACTGATAGAAGTTTGTTATTCAGTCTTCTTCAACCAACTTCCATAACAGGTTTTTAAAAATTTTCATCAAAATTATTTGTGTTTTCTAGATTTAATCTTAATTCTTGCTAAATTTTTGCAGCTGTCTTTCTCTATGGATATTGTATATCAGTGGTGGGATTCAAATTATTTTACAGTTCTGTGGACGTGGCTTGATGGGTGTGGCAGGGGAAGGATACTGTAAAATCTCCATTCCCTCCCCACTCCAGGGGAAAGTTACGGCAAAATCCCCATTTGCTCCCAATCAGCTGGAACTCCAGAGGCAGAGAATATATGGGGGCGGGGCAAGTCAGAGGTGGTACCATGTTTCCCTGAAAATAAGACAGGGTCTTATTTTCTTTTGACCCCCAAATGTTGTTGGACCATATTATGGGGGGGGGGGTATTGGTTTGGGGTTGCCAGGTGGCTGCTCTCTTGCAAGCGGGTGCCCAAAGAGCCAGGCACAGCCTCAGGGGCAAACGGCTATGTTGCGCTGTCACAGCAGCACAACACAGAAGCCATGAGGTGACCACACTCATGATCAGCCGCCCAGCAACCATCTTTCCAGCCAGGCAGAATGCCACTCACTGACCCAGTAATATCCCAAAGGCGCTAAGCCGCGTGGCACTTTACCCAGCTGGAAAGGGAGGTTGCACGAGCACCTGTTCTGCCCCAGCTCGCGTGCCTCCCAGCCTCACCACGCTCTCCCTGCAGGGCCAGGGCGCTGCTGCCGCCACACTGCCACTGCCGAGCTCCGAGCATGAGAGCAGCCACCTGGCAACTTCCCTCTGCTTCAGCTGAGCACAGCACCACTCACCAACCTAGCGGTATCCCGGAGGTGGCAAGAAATGTGAGCGCCTTTGCCCCCCCCTTCCACGGCTCCTGTGGTTTGGCGCTTTCAGGATATCACTAGGTTGGTGAGTGGCACTCTGCCTGGCTGGAGGGGGGGTTGTCCAGGGGGGGCTTATATTTTTGCCCAGCTGAAAAATGAGGCAAGGCCTTAGTTTCAGGACAGGTCGTATTTTCGGGAAACACGGTATTTATTGGTTCTCCAAACTACTCAAAATTTCCGCTACTGGTTTTCCAGAACTGGTTAGAACCTGCTGAATACCACATCTGGTATGCTTCTGTCATTTTCTTGTTGCAATCATTTCTTATATGCATTTTCCCTTCTCTCATAACCTCTTTCAGATTGTTCTGCCAAGTACTGTAATGTTTTTCATACTTCTTATTACCACAACTCCACATCTTTCTGTCATTAAGTAGAAAAAAAGTCATGTCCAAGCAACTTCTACATCATCTTTCTTTATATCATTTTGCACTCCCACAATTTTGAAATACATCTGCTAATATAGGTAAAATTTATTTCTCTTAATGCAATTCTTCTTTTGTTCTTTTTTAAACCTTCCTTTCTTCTATATCCCCTTTTCCCAAGATTCTTTCTTGAAGCTACCAAAAAATAAAATTTAGAGTATTCATCATCCCTGTAGCCTTCACTAAGTCTTCTGTCATCAGACAAAAAACTAAACACTATTTTTAGATTTCTATTCATTCCTGTATATAAAAAAGAGCTATGTATTCAAAACAATCCTTTTTCTAAACAATCTCTTACCAGTCACCACTCTCCTTCACTGTTAAGTCTCCAAACTGAATTCTCCGAATTCTATTTTTAAAAGGAAACCCATCTTGTTTCTATGCATTCATCTTTATCATCTAGCATAATATTTCTCCCCACTGAATCACATCATTCAAAACATTATAATTTTTCTCCAAAACTTTTATCTGGTTCTTTCCCTAGACCACCATCTAGTAGAGTGCAAATACATGCATTAGTTCCATTCAAATGAGTGTTTTTCCTAGCTTTTGATTTCACAGACACACAACATACTATTATTTAATTCATGTTTTGTACCATTGACTCTTCTTACATTTAATTCACCATTGCTCGTATGCCATAGCTGTCCCTAAATAGACCCAAAGATGTTCTGCTCAGTATGCTACTCATTATGATTTTGGTCAATTGAGGCTTTCACACTACTTAAGAGAGAAAGAGTGAGGTTTCCAACCTTGGTAGTTCCTGTGTCACATGCATCATTTTTAAAGGATAAAAGCAGTACCAATCAGTTTTGTAGGCATGGCACTGTGAGAGAACAGGCTGCCCAGAAAATTGCCAGCATCTGTGCTGCTTTCTTCCATTCTCTTTAAGCCCTCTCCTTAGTGTCCACACAACAAAGTTGACCACAAAAGCTTTGCTGTGAAACAGGTGAGGGTATGTGAAAGAAGCCAGAAAGGGATATTTTTCTTTAGTAGTAATCACAAGGAATAGTAGAAATAATAGCAGCAGCAGGGAAGAGTGAAGAAGAGTAGTAATAAGTGGTAACAATGTCTTGAACCCATCAAATTTAGTATAGTTTAAAAAAATGAAGTGGTGGTAGCAGTGGAATATCCATAAAATGTAAATTATCCAAAGCAACACCTATTGTTTTGATACCTATAAATGTGGAATTGGCTCAAATATGTGAAATGCATGTTTTGTCTAGGGATTAAAGTTGGTCACTCTTTTGTGTATTGAGCCCATCAGGTTACTACAGTATAAAAGAACCCAACAGCACAAAGCCTTTTTTTTACCCCAAACATACTCAAATTATTCAATGCCAACTATGAAGGCTTTTAAGCCAAAATACTGTTCACCACATCACTTCATCCAAGTAGAATGTATAGTTATGCAGTGTATTAACACTAGAATACCAGGTTACTAATCATGGTTAATTGTTAAGAATGAAAAATAATGCAAAAAAGCAAAAAAAGCAACGGCAGTCTCTGAGATTTTGAAAATAATTTTATTCATTTTTAAAAAATACATATTACAATACAGGGTATTAGGAAAAAGGTGATGTAGGGACAGATGTTCCCCTCTTTATTGATGAGAACCTACCTGCAAGGCTACATCAGCCTGAAGTCCTTTAGTTATGCCCACAGCAGTCTCATGCTAAACAACTTTGGTGGGTTGTTTCCATTACCAGCAGTAAACATTAAATCAAGGTGTTTCACATATGGTTTATGACTATTTCTGCATTATCTATTATCTTTGTGTCTGCAATACATAATGCACCAGTGATCTAATAATGTATACAAGGGTCTTTCTGGACAGGAAGACTAAACATGAATGTTTATTTTTTAAAATATATTTTCCATGGGTGGTCCCAATGTTAAACTTTCTTCAGTGTTTGCTTTTGAGGTTCTCCCCTACCCCGCCCATATAGGAACAGCTAAAATAGCCACACCATAGTGTTGGAAGAAAAATCCATCTGGTTCAGTTCCAATCCTGGAGAAAGGCACTGGAAACAAAAATGGAGGCTGGAGGCTGATTGGAAAGAAAAGTTCTCTTTATTGATGAAGCAGAACCAACCACATGTGATTCTGGGCAGCTGACAAAATGAAGTTGAGAGTGAATGGGTTTTATATTTTCTTTGGGCTTTGTATTTGAGCTTCCTGTTCCTATGCAAGAACATGCCCTTTAATATTCTATTGGCTGTTGTCAGATTCCTATGCATCATAGCTGGCTCTATTGCAGGTGTCAAACTCGCATCCTCACAACTGCATCACATGACATAGCAGCACTTTCCCCCCCTTCGCCAAACCTCTAGACCGCTAAACATGCTGGAAACATGTAATGCATCCAGGTGGGGGGGGGATTTGACACCCTGTTCTATAGGCAAAAGAGGAAATGCAAATCCTAAGTGTTTGTCTAAGCTAATTTGTCAACCTTTTATTTGTTGCTTATCTGAGTTTTTATCTTGACCCAGTCTTTTTGAATGGATTACCAAATCTGCATTTCTAAAAGTTGGCTTCCTCAGTTACTGCTTGGCGACAGGGAAACTGGGGCTGGTTTCTGCCTCCTTTAAGATTCTTTTAAATTTCTCCTTTAGGGGAAATATTTTATCCTGCCTTTTTAATATTTCCCAAAATAATTCATTCTTCTAGGGGTTGGGGGGCTTCGTACAATAGCTTTTTATTGCACATTTGCATTAGGACAGGATATTCTCAACTCATATGTCACTTTTCAAGGCTCATGTGCCCTCCATCGGCATTGAAACCCTAATTTTCTCCCATTTCCATCGCTTTCCTCCGTGGGTTTTTCTACAGCGAACTGAGATTTTAAATCCTAGAGACAAAAAGCAGGATGACTAAATACAAGCGCCATGCGCAGAGGGAGTGATGCCGAACAATCACCAAATACTGTATCCCAGCTGCAGTGTTTGATCATTCGGTTCAAAGTGCCCTTTTCCCAAAACAGCAGGACATCATTTGCATTCTTTGAACGCAAGTTGCAGATCGCTGTTCCAACAAATCTGTTTTCCTACGCGCACGGCTCGCAACATCGCAGAAGGCTAAGCGCCCACTTCTGCAAGAAGAAAAGGCAAGAGTAGAGCAACGCTTGGAAAAAAGGAGCCAGCCCCGCAGAAGCGTCACAGTCCGCCCTCTTCCCTCTATGGCAGATCGGCGTCGCCTCGCTCTCAGTCTGATTTAGGACTCCTATAGTGGGAGTGGGGGAGAGAGGGGGAGCCTATGCCGTCATCTCTGTGCGACGCGAGGCCAGGAGCAGAGGGAGAGACGCGCAATCCCCTACGCGACCAATAGCGTTTGTTTTCATCGGCTGTCATGGCCTCCGCAGAAGGAGAGGTACACTTGAATCCGCCCCGGGATCCCGCTCCGCCGAAGGATTATTTCGAAGAGCCGGTCGGAGAGGTCTTGAGGGGTTCCCTACGTTCCCTGCCTCGGCTGATTGGACAGGTAAGTAAGGAAGGGGAATGAAGCCATGACATTCCACTCGGCAAAGGGACGAGTGTCTAGATAGCGGTCATCCCTATGGCCATCGTCTCTGCTTTCCCAGTGCCCTGGCGGGGTGTGTGTGGAAGACTCCGGGGATAGCGTGGTGTGAAACGAGGCTTGCTTGAAGGGACGAAGCAAAATAGGTTGCCCTAAGTTTTTCTAGGCATCCGAGGCGAGCAAAGGATGAACTATTTCGGCTTGGCTTGGAGGAGGAACCGCGCTAAAAGTAGCGAGCGCGCTTCTCCCCACGTTTTCTGCTACACGCCTTGAGATGCTTTGAAGAGCCGCCTCTGTAGTAGTTGATGTGCATCGCCAGATTATTGCAGCTATTCTGAACAGGGCCACAAGGAAGGAATTCACGTGGCCTCCTTTGGAGGAAATCATTGAGGCTAGGGAATTTCTTTTGAGATGTAATTGGTAAGCATTCAAGATTTGGAGCAATTTGTAGGGTTTTCTTTGGTGTTTGATTTAGTTTTGAAATGATACCTTTCTTTGATGTGGTGTCTGGTGCCTTGTTCTCTTTCACTGTGACAGAATTACCAATGGATAACGGAAGCTTTCAGAATAGCAAATATAGTCTTATCCCAAAGCACCAAAAGTGCTTTTTTTTCAAGAGGCAATTGGACTTTTTTTTTCTTTGAAGAAGTTTCCTTCTCATCCAAGAAGCTTCTTCAGCTGAAGTCCAGTTGCCTCTTGAAAAAGCACCTTTGGGACAACCATGACCTGGATGACTGAGAATCTCCATAGACATTTAAATATAGTCTACCTTCCACAGCAGAGAAAAACAGATGTGACAGTATGTTGTGTTCCCATGTATGAGGGGTTTCATGACTTTCACACACACATATATACACAGAGACACTTGTTTTATCTTCTTTTCATTTCTTTGTTCTGTTTTTAAACAATTTCCTTGCTTGCTAATTGTGTAGTTGATATCTAATAGTCTGTCAGCCATGAATAACAAATGGCTGATCCAAAATGGATGCTGTTACTTTATCTCAAGAAGGGGAGGAGATGGGAAAACACGTGAATTTCAAAATGTTTATAATATGTTTGCATATGGTTTTAAATAACTGACTACCTATGCACATCTATCTGGAAGTTTAAAATGTTACAGCCTAGACTTGGGAGGAAAGGTTTTAAACTTTGATATGGTTTTAAACTTTAATTTGCGTTCTCAAAGAACATGTACTCTTGAGTTAGGTGAAATGTAACAAATGCAGTCCCATTCTCAAAATCTTCTTTTGCATCCTTTAAGATTTTTTTTGCCTATTTCAGTTAAAAATAAGGGCCTATTTATTCAGATGCCATGCTTTGCTACCATAATAAATGTTGTAGTATGTTATTTTGATTGTAAACTTTAAAAAGTATGCTGAAAAGTTAAAGACGATGAAGAAAGAAGCCATAAGAATCTATAAGAATGCTAGATGCATTTGTTATAATGAGGAAGACGCAAGAGAACTGTGAGCTATAATTTCAAGACTTGTAATATGTCTTTGCCACAATCCATCTAGTGGATGGAAATGAGGAATTAGTGACTGCCTACTTAAAGTGACATTTTCTCCTTTAGATAAACAAGTGGATTTAGATCTGGAAAACAAAACAAAAAACAATTTATTTTGTGGCCTTGGCTATATTTCAGAAACTATTATACTTTCATGATCAGTTAATATTATTAAAAATCTACTTCACTTGTAATGGTTGAAAACATACAATAGTGCTCTGCGTACATACTCAAAAGTAAGCCCCTGAACTAAATTTGAATTTCTTCATACAGAATTGCAGCCATATATATATATATATATATATATATATATATATATATATATATATATATATATATATATATATATATATATATATATATATATATATATATAAAGTTTGGAACAAATAGAAATATTTTGGAATTTTTTTCTAATTAAAAACTGCTCTCTTGCATTCTGTATAACATATTAATTTTACAACTACTGTAAGTGAATTGGAAGTCAATCACTAAAATCACTGGAGCACGAAATACAGAACTAAATATCAGAAATATATGGCTGAGACTATACATATTTGTAGTATCCAACAACATTATATATCTTTACTTCTCATAATATCTTTTAGTACAACTATGATTAAATGAAGATATATCTTAAAAGATTTAAAATGTATGTTTTATAAACTGCACAAGAAAAAAATATCCGAGGGACTCAGGAATACCTAAAATATTCTTGCTTAATAGGAAGTTCTTGTGTAGCAGTTGCTGATGATATGAATAGGGGAAATGCATTGGTGGCAACCAGAAATAGTATTATGATGATTGAGTTAAGCCTGAATCTGTTATCTAGCTATATATCCTCTACTTATTTAAACATCAGAGAAATAGGAACTGTCCAAATCCTGTTGAGAAAGATGAACATATTTGCAAATGTATTGATTTTAACTATGGTGTTTAGAATGATGACATTTTATTATGACCAACTATCAGTCTGCGGATTTTAGAATAAACTCTAAAATGTTTTTTTATTATATTTTTTAATTGCTTGTTAGATTTATAATCCATTGTTCCTTTAGAACAGGCATATCCTATGGGCTGCAAGCAGCTCTGGACAGTTAGTAATGCAGTCCCACAAGATTATAAACTTTTAATATTTTGTGATGTTTTGTGATAGTTACTATAATGAGTGTGTGTGTGTGTGTGTGTGTGTGTGTGTGTGTGGCCCAAGACAATTCTTCATTCAGTGTGGCCCAGGTAAGCCAGAAGATTGGACATTTAGAAGTTTAACTTTACTTTGGAAGTTTCATATAACATACACAGTACTTTCTTCAATTCAACAGTACTAACCCTGTGAAGTAGATTGGGCTGAGGGATGTAGGTAGTCTTAAATTGCCTATCAGTTTCCATGGTTGAATTTGGATTTCAATGTGTGTGGAATTAACCGCTATCCCACAATTTCCCCAAATATATTGGGGATCATTTGAAGCAATTTTAGATTAAACATAGACAGAAAAGATGAGAACATATTACATATTTTCTCTACTAATACAGAAATCTCTACTAATACAGAAATCTGTTTATCTTAGATTAGGTATATTAATTTATTTAATTTGTATCTCATCACATTCCCATAGAATTGTCAGCAGTTTTACAAGAATGCAAACGTTAAAACATCTATAATCCAGTAAAATCCAAAAGCCTAAGGTACAAACCCCAAAAAAACTGAGTTCCAAAACAGGAAACTGCTAGAAAATAATCCAGAGAAGACAGGTTTCAAGCCCCAAACACTCTCCATCTTCAACTGAGAGCAAGGCATATCTTTATGTCTCCTGAAGCTTGTGATTATAAATATAATTTCTAATCATTATGAACACCTCAATTACCAGCAAGCTGAAATTTGAAAACCACAGAATCCAGTGAGCCAAAATTTCTGGAAAAGGAATTTATTTTCTTTTGACCCCCTCCCCCCCAATGTTGTTTGGGCCTTATTATCGGGGGGGGGAGAGGCTTTAATTTATTTTATTTATTTTCAATAATCAAAACTAAGTTAATTGGTCTCCATTGAGATGTTGCTAACACCAAACCTGGCAAAGCTGAAATGAACTGTAATAGAGTTCTCTCCCCCCATTCACCCTATGTTTTGAGTGAGAACTACAGAGTTTTCAAAAATCCTAGGAAGATGTCTATGGAGATTCTCAGTCATCCAGGTCATGGTTGTCCCAAAGGTGTTTTTTCAAGAGGCTACTGGACATTCTGTTTTTTCTTTGAAGACATTTCGCTTCTCATCCAAGAAGCTTCATCCAAGAAGATGAAACGTCTTCAAAGAAAACCCAGAAAGTCCAGTTGCCTCTTGAAAAAACACCTTTGGGACTAGGAAGATAGATAATAAAGCACAGATTTTTATCCATAAATAAATATGATCTTGAACAATATAAAATATATTAATCTGCAATTACATGCAACATATTGCAATAAAATCCAATGTTTACAATAATGACAAGTATATTATATAACAATAAGACATCTCCAGGTTAAATAATATTCTAGTTGACAGATACAGATATCTATCATCTATGTCTATTATTTCTCTAGCTCTAATTTTTTATCTTTAATTCATTTTAGCTTTTATCAGTTTTTAATTTTTAAGGAAACTTCAAAAAGCTTTTTCCTGATACCATATGTTTTTACATCTTCCCTTATTTATTTTGCAAGCTGTTTTCTCTAACACAATACATTTGAAACACACTTTTAAAAAACTGACATATTTGCGTATTTTTACATTTGAAATAAACTTGTAGAGACATCCAGGAGAACCTTCGAGATCAGTACTGCAAGCCTACCTGTTAAAAAATGAAGTAGCTTTAATAGTTTAAAAAGAAGGGCTTTGTATTTAGTCATATAGATTCTGAATATTTTATTTCAAAGAATTTGTGCAGCAATAATTATCTTTAAAGTCTTTTATTGAGTCTTCTGATTGCCTGTATGAAAAGCAAGCTGTCAGACTAGATGGGCCATTGAACTATTATTGCCTGGCAGTTCTTAGGTCACATTTTATTCAGATCTTACTTTCTAGTATAATTGTGAATGTTTTATATTGTAACTTTTTGATGTTATGTGCTTGGATTTTAAAGTTTAACCTCGAGGAAGATGTGGTGAAAATTAACATAAACTGGGAGAAATTTCGAGGCATGTCACTACCGCAACCTAAATTGCTCCTTACTGCTCTTCAGCAGCATATTTCCTCTTTACAGGTAAATGTTTCTTATTAAGCACTTTTCCAAAACCTAATTGCACAAGTCAAACCTTAAATCCTCTACACTACTGTTAAAACTGATGTATTTGCAATAGTTGCATTTAACTATGTGAAACACAGAAGTTCTTTACTTACTAAAGGTCCTAACTGTTTTAAGATAACAGGTTTATTGGAAGTATTGTGGAAATAATATTGCAAGCTGTTCCGGTTAAGTAGATTGGGAAAATGCATTCCTGTTGATTTCTGCACTTCCACTGTAAATGCAGTACATTTGTATCTGGGGTGGTTATAATTAAGCAATAACACGGCAGGTGTATGTCATGCTAGGATAATGATTCCATGCGTTGGGTGAGTTCTGCCGTTTGTGGAGTGCTTTCAGTGGATCAAGAAGTGGCATTATCCCAGCATGATGCATCCTGGTGTATGTGCGTATCAGCAATTAACCTTAGTGCCAGCACAGATCTTTTTAAAGTAACTTTTTTTCTGTGCCTAATGTTTCATCTTATCAGGTAAATAGTTTCAATATTACATCATTTTCATTTGATGCTTTTAAATTTTTATTAAAGTTAAGTTGCATTGTTTGTATCTTGGATCAATTACTAGTGCGACTCTTATGGCCTCGGCCTAGTACTCAATGAGAATATATCCATAATTGGTTTGCTTTCCTGTCAAATTAGAATGTAATGTGTCAGCAGCATCTCCTGTGAATACTCCATTGGGAAAAAATTACCACATTATTGGCACCACGTAATAGTGGAAATTTTCAGCTGAATATTTCATCACTCTAAATGTACACATTAAAGTAAATAAGATTGCCTGGAGATAGAGCAAAAACTAGTTCTTGTGTTGTTTTTTAAATATAATTTTACTTCTATAGTAAATCAATTTTACTATAGTAAAGTTTATAAAGTAAATTATTTTCAGAATAATAATGCTTACTAAAGTGCTTCTTTAGATAGGCATAGCATGAAATTCTATTTTCAGAATTTCCTGATAGTGGGAGCAAGAGACAAATTGAAATAGTAATTATTGCACAGCTCTTCCTTGTTTGTATTGTATAAAAGTACTCTTCAGGATTGTGTCATTATTCAGTCTTTTTAAAACACGGAGGCATTAAAGAATTGCAGAGCTTTCATTTTTCCTGTATTTTATGCTTTAGTGGTAAACATTTTTTTTAAAGCAAATATAGTTTTTAAATTAAAATAAAAGGATGTATAGTAATAAAGACCATTTGTTTTTCAAATATTGGCTGCACTGGGATAGGTATAAGTCTGGAACATGATATTTACTTTCTCTCCTGGGTGTTCGATGGTTGCCCTTTCAAGTAGAGATGCTGTCAGTGATGTAATGCTAAAGCAAAAACCTTTAACAGAATGAGAGTCTTGGCTCTTATATTAAGGAGGAAAAATACTTAAGCCTTAACGTTCTGAGTAAGCATTTGAATGACATGTAAATTAAGTGATATTGGTGCCAAAAGCTGCTGCTTTGATTTGGTACAAAATAGATGAGTAACAGACAGATTTTCTCTGATAGTCTGGGCTCTCTAGAGGTTTTTTTTTTAATACACAGATTAGTAAAAAGGCAGTGATCAAAAGGGTAGTGACACTTTGAGATGTGGTATTTCAATTCTTATTTGGTTAGATTATGTACACAATAATGAGGACATATGGTCTCTGAAATTATTTTAAGGAGTTTTAGAAATCCCAGGCTTTAAAAAAAACAGGTTCTGTTGCTTTAAATCAATTATTTTTTCTTCTACTGCCTAGCTTTTTGTGGAAAAACTTCAGCCTTTGATTAAAGAAGAAAATACTACGCCCATTTATAATTTTAGTAAGACAGAACATGGACATTTCAAAAGTATTTCAGATGCAAAAGATAAAGACCTACAGAAAGAAATGAAACATACAGCCAGTGACTCTGCAAATCTGAAAGAAGCTCCTTTTGGTTTTGACCCAGAAGTAGTTCAGATAAAAGCTGGGAAAGCTGAAGTAAGTGAATGTAGGACCATTTCTTCCTATCAAGTCAAAATCCTTTCAATCTGAATGGCAATAATGATCATTAAATACAAGTTGTTTCTTACCTACAGATTGAAAGACGAATATCGGCCTTCATTGAAAGGAAACAAGCTGAGATCAATGAAAATAATGTCAGAGAATTTTGCAATGTTATGGATTGTAATCAAGGTAGCTATGCAGCAGAACTTTTTTTTACGACATCACCCCCCCTACCCCGACTCCTCCTCAAAAGGGAGCTAGTGAGAAAAGTACCAATTAAACAAAAATTAGTTGTTTTATTTCTCAGACATTTATCCTTATAATAGAACTATATCATTTATAATAAAATTGCACTGACCCCCAAAGTTATTTCTTTCCAGGTATATGTCTATGGAAAAAGCACCTTTGGGATTTCCAGGTATAGGTAGTATTTTAGCCAGTTTCCTAGAATACAATGCAGATGATATGTATTTTTATATTGGACTTGAATTGTAATTTAGGAATAAATCCCACCGAATTTAGAACCAAAGTGTGCAAAAAAGCAAAAAATACAGATGATTTATTCATATTTCAAGAAATGTATTAATGCAGTGAATAGGAATAAAATATTTACAAACTGAAATTTTATTAAAAATAGAAAAGCTTGTTAAAAATAAGAGAAACCAAATTCCATTTAGCCTATTTCTTAATAGCATTCCAAATGCTTAAATGTGGAATTTGCTAATTTGACCTTTTTTTAAATGACTACCATTTAGACTAAACTTCTAGCAAGAGTGGTCCTCTTAATGAATTTTCTAACCAAACATTGATATGACAGGTTGTCATTACACAAAAGTCTGTTTTTAGAGTTACATTTCATTCATTCTGAAATAGTGAGCTCACATCTTATTACTAACTTGTCATCTTTCCAGATTAAGAGTCTTATTTGCTTGATATTAAAAATTGGATTCTTAAATAAAAGATAGAAATTTTATATCCACATTAGGACTATTAAAATGGGTTAAATAAAATCCAGTTATCAAATTGTATATACAATTTGCTACTTATAAATAAAGCCAAAAACAAATAGTGACTCATGTATGATGCAAGCCATTTTGTTCTGAGAAACAAAGCAAGACTCAATAGCTTTCAAGAGACCGTATATACCTGTTCTTATCATAAGTCTATACTAAAACATATGAAGAACGGTTGCAGGAACCTGGCATGTCTAGTTTAATGAAAAGAAGGACTAGGGTTTCCACATTATAGCAGTGTTCCAATATCTCAGGGGTTGCCACAAAGAAGAGGGAGACAAACTCTTCTCCAAGGCACCTGAGGGTAGAACAAGAAGCAATGGGTGGAAACTAATCAAGGAGAGAAGCAACCTAGAATTAAGGAGAAATTTCCTGGCAGTTAGAACAATTAATCAGTGGAACAGCTGGCCTCCAGAAGTTTTAAATGCTCCAACACTGGAAGTCTTTAAGAAGATATTGAATAGCCATTTGTCTGGTACGTTATAAGGTTTCCTACCTAGGCAGGTTGGACTACAAGACCTCCAAGGTCCCTTCCAACTCTGCTATTGTATTGTATTATATAAGTGATTTTCATTTAAAAAAATTAATATTTTTTTTCCAAACTAAAAATATCTGTTGAAATAATTTATTAATTATGAAATACTTTAGGTAACACATAACAGATATGAGCACTATGTTTCTTTCTAAAAACTTTATTTCTTTACTTAGAGAAAAATAGCTTGCTTCAAAATAAAAATTTGATCCAAATTATTATGATAGTGATTTTCAGTTATGAAAGCTATCAGATTTTTTTATCTCCATCTATTGTATATTTGTCTCAATTAAATTAATGATTTAATAATGCTATATTTTATCATATATTCTAATATATATTTGGTAATAGTGCATCTTAGAAATATGCAGTTTTTTGTAAATATAAAAAAGTTTAAATGTATAGGTTTTTTCATATTTTCACTTCTTATAAAAGTGGGGGGAGGTTTTGACTCTGTTCTTATATTTTAACTGAAATTACTATACTTTTAAGATTGTTTACATTTTCACCAGTATACAATTCTGTGCCTATATATTTGGATTAAACCTTTCAGACTTCAGTATGATTTTCTTTGGGCAAAGTTATATTACAAGGGTCTGCAAAATTATTTCAATCCCATGTTAAAATGAAAAGTAGTAAAAAAACACTTTTCAGATTAGAATCCAAGTAAAAATATAACTCTAGACATGCCAGAATTATTATCTTCTGTATCTGCCAACTAAGGATGTAGTTAAGGTAAGTTTGATCAGACAACATATCATGATTTATATCCTTATAATAATTTTAGTAAACTTAGTGAATTAAACCATGATGTCTTGTAGTTTAGGCATAATTTCTGAATTCAACCAATATTTCTCATTTTGTTGAACATTTGGAATGAATTCTGAGCTCCTAAAGTTATTGAAATAATGATTTGGTTTTTTTTTGTTCAAAACATCTTTAGAAAACAGTTGTGCTAGAACTGATGCAGTGTTTACACCTTATCCAGGTTTCAAAAGTCATGTGAAGGGTAAGTATTATTATATCTTTCTCTGACCACTTTTCTAAAAGCTAATTAATAAAGGCAAGAGAAGCCTTTTCAGTTTCATTAAATATATTTTTGAACTTCAAAACATTCTGTAAATGTTCATGTTCCTTTCTTTATGTATTTCAAAACAAATCACAAGTGTTTATCTTAGACTCTGTTAATTTGATAAGCCAATAGCAACTCATTTTTCAGCTTCAGTAGACATCTTTTTAATGAATGTGTGCAGAAAGAAATACTGGAAAAGTTCATGGAGGAAAGTGTTGAATAATCGAAGAGATTTTAAGACTGCAAATTTAAGTACACCAACTAATTTTGGCTGAATTTAAATTCCTGCTTTAGAACAAATTTAACAAATAAATAAGTAATCAAGCTGTGAGCATTTTAGCTAATGATCATGGGTCATATAAATTGTTTGGGAGAGAGTCAAAACTTCCATATCTATTAGTTCAAATTTTCCATTTTGAGACTGTTATTTTTAAACCTTTCTCTCTCTATTGCAGTGGTGAAATTCATTTTTTTTTTACTACCGGCTCTGTGGACGTGGGTTGGTGGGCGTGGCAGGGGAAGGATACTGCAAAATTACCATTCTCACCTCACTCCAGGGGACAAATACTGCAAAATCCCCATTCCCTCAAAATTTCTACTCAAAATTTCTGCTACCAGTTCTCCATAACCTGCTGAATTTCGCCCCTGCTCTGTTCTTTTGTATTTGAGCTTTATTGTATATCATGACATTCGACTAGCTCATTTAATTTCTGTTAATAAACAGTAGCAAAAACATTAAATTACCCTATTTTTTGGAGTATACAACGCACCTTTTTTCCTCTAAAAAGAGGCTGAAAATCTGGGTGCGTCTTATATACTGAATACAACATTTTTTGCTTCGTGGAGCCCCACCTCTTCACCAAAATGGCCATGCATAGCCTTATGGAGGCTTTCAGACATCTCTTGGGGGCTGGGGATGGCAGAAATGAGCAAAAAATGAGCCCTTTTTTGCACCCCGAGCCCCCATCAGCACTCTATAAGCCTGCATAAGGCTATGCATGCAATTTTTTTGGCAAAAAAATGGCCCATTTTCACAAAAAGGGCCATTTTTTGCTTGTTTTTGCCCCCCCTCCCAGGAGCACTCTGCATGCCCCCCCCCCAAGGCTATATAAAAAAAGCGGGCCTATTTTTGCGAAAAACGGGCCATTTTCGGGAGGTTTTCAGAGTGCAAAAACTTTTTCTTCCCCCTTTCGGAAAGCTGTTTAGTTAGAGTAGTTGATGAAAATTACATGGATCAAGTGCTGTCCCAGCAGAAACAAAGTTTTAGGTGCTACAGGTTGTCAGCTATTTCCTTCTCCAGCACATGGATAAATACACCTGGAAACATCTACCTACCTACCTACCTACCTACCTACCTACCTACCTACTCACTCTCTTCTCCCTACCTACCTACTGTATTTCTCTCTCTCTCCCTCCCTCTCTCCCTCTCTCCCTATATACCTACCTACTCACTCTCTCTCCACCTACTTATCTACTGTATTTCTCTCTCTCTTTTTCTATATATATATATCTCTACTTACCACCCATTCCCTCTGTCTCCCTACCTATCTACTGTATTTCTCTCTCTCTATCTCTCTCTATTTCTCTCTCTTTATCCCTCTACCTACCTACCTACACACTCTCTACCCCCCTTACCTACCTACTGTATTTCTCTCTCTCTCTATTTCTCTCTCTCTCTATTCTTTTATCTACCTACCTACCTACCTACCTACCTACCTACCTACCTACCTACCTACCTACCTACTACTCTCTCTCTCTCTTTCTCTCCCCACCTACCTACTGTATTTCTCTCTCTTTCTCTCCCTCTCTATCCCTCTATCTACCTACCTACTTTTTTTAAAAAAATTGCCTCTTCAAAACCTGGGTGTCTTATACTCCAAAAATACGGTAACCATCTTAGGCTCACAGAAGAAAAATTAGATAGAAAATTTTAATTAAATAATTTAATGGCTTGCTGCTTTAAATAAATGACACGAAAAATTCAGACAGTAACATTTTTATTATTATTCTACCATGAAAAAATTTCTAGACAGTGTCAAGTAAAACTATCCTTTAATTTTTGTGAGCTATCTTCTGTAGCATTTGCTATTTATGTCCCAAAGGTGCTTTTTCAAAAGACAACTGGACTTTCTTTGTTTTTCCTTGAAGACATTTTGTTTCTCATTCAAGAAGCTTCTTTATTTCTGAAGCTTCTTTTGAGAGTTGAAATGTAATTCAAAATACTTAGGTTGAATTCAGATTGTGCTAAGCCCTGGTATATATCTATTTTATGGTGAACCTAACCACTGTCATGTATAAATGATAGCTTATCATTTAGCATGTTGAATTGCTATTCAACTTGCTAAATGAGGGCTTATTTTGTAAATTATGATAAAACAAAGCTTCCATTAGCCTTAATTCTAAATAGTTGTGAATTTATCATACTGAAAATAGATTTCTAGATACTGGCTTTCATTGGCATATAGTAAAATGTATAGTATATCTGATAATTTTACAAATTCATTTTGTTTTGGAAATGTAGCAATATTTCTGGGCATTAATTATACAAGAAACAGGAATGTTTATGTTTTTTTTTTTAAAAAAATAATCTAGATAAAATACCTCTCACTGACCATTGTAAAAAATAGTCACATATACTTTAAGCAGGAGATAGGTATGTCTGGATAGCTTCTGTATAATATTGGGAATAATGGGTCTTTCAGATAAAAGGCTATGGACTTGCGTGATCCTATTATTTGGCAAAATATTAAACTTGTACTTTTAAAAATCCTAGTTTCTCGAGTTGTAAATACTTATGGACCTCAGACTAGAAGTGAAGATGCCCAGGTTTCCAATCATAATGCCAGTCATTCTCATGATTGTGGAAATCAAGCAATAGAAGAGAGACTACAGAACATTGAAGCACATTTAAGGTTACAAACAGGTTAGTAGAATGAGTTTATAGCTGAATTGTAAACTGTAATGTTTTTCAGCAACAGCCAGCAAAAGTGTAATTCCATGCTGTGTCTCTTACTTTTGCACCATAGAATTTTTTTACTGAGACTAAGATTGAAATGGATTAGAGTTGTAAAATCTGAATAGACGTAAATGTATTGATGTGCAGCATCGTATGGTACATTTCTTTTCTATTTTGATCAACTTTTTTCCCATCATGAGTTCCAGCATTTATTTAGAGTTTTCATAGTAAGCATACCATCCAATTCATTGCACTGCTATCTAGCTGGTGGCCTGGTAGTGGTAAATAGGTTAATATCTGTTGAACTAAATCACCTTTAAATTATTGAACATAGTTACTATTATTTTGTTTTTTCTCCCCTATTTTAATCTTGTGAAAGTTGACTTTTTTAAGCTAGTTATTTGGAATAATTATTCACTGTATGGACCCAAAGATTTCTAAGCCCTTGGTTCTTTTGGGGGGGAGGGGGCTGAATGAATAACATCGCTATTGACCTGTTTTAATGAAATATGAAAATATTTAATTCATAAACTTATTGTAGAAATCTACAATGGAACATGGAGATAATCGATGCATTTTGGCAAATTATGATTATCAATAACCACATTTGTATAAAATATTAAGGTATTATAGATATACAAATACACAATATAGCAATAAGCTTGTCACAAAGAAGACCATAATCAAAATAAAATAAAACTCCTGCATTTAGAATCATCGTGCAAGAACCCCCAGTGATCTAGCCACTTTAATATTTCTGCTTTGTTGAACAGAAAGTGGAAAATTATATCTTCAGAAAATAACATGAAGAAAGTGGACCTTTATAATTTTCAGGTTGGGTTCACAGCTATATTTGGAACCTGTCATCTATGTATGTAAAGAATTGTCAAGAAAGCTTTATGATGTCCCAGCAATTTATTGCATTAGAATATTATTGTTTTGGGCCCCCTCTTTCTCCTTTATTCATTCTTTTATCCTCAATCCTGGTTGAAAGGTTAATTCTCCTTTGAAACCTTCTGTTTTTATTTTTTAAATTGTCCTAGTCGGTGATATATTTTTGATGGTTTTCTTTGTAATGCTTCAATGTAGGTGGACCAGTGCCAAAAGATATTTATCAGAGGATAAAAAAGCTTGAAGATAAAATTCTTGAATTGGAAGGGATGTCTCCTGAATATTTTCAGTCTGTGGTAAGTAGCGTTATTAAGTCTTGGTACCTTGTTCTAAATGTCTTGAATGGGGATGCGTATATTTGGATCCAGAGTTTTCGAAACAGCCTTGTTCAGTTCATTTGAAGTGATAGCTCTGCATGGTGATTTCCATCAAGGTCAATTGGGCTATTAGCAGACACAGGAATTCTCTGTACACACTGGGAAATTCATGGGGTGTTGTTTCAATAAGATTGATTAGCTTTTAAAAAGTGTTCAGAGTGTTTTCCTCTTATATAGCTGTGAAGATTTTTCTCTTAAGAGCTGATCTATCAAACACGTGTACCACACATGTAATACAGAGTTCCTATTTGAGTCCTCTTTCTAATTAAAAACCAGTTCAGTTAAAGGGAGTTAACAGTTAAAAAAATTAACCCATTAAACAGAAATCTTTTTCTCGAATTTGCTTTTTTTTTTACAGAGAAGTGGGGAGGGGGGGAACACAGAGAAAGAGAGAAGACTGAGGAACATGCATTGAATCCTTTCAGAAAGATTAGAATAATAATGATAACTTGCATAGTAGAAGCACTTTGCTCCTTATCTGATGGGAGATGAACATGCACCCTAGAAAAACTTAGAGAGATTACATGAGGAAAAAAAATAAGTGCTGATAATTCCCATTCATAAAAATGTAAGTCTTTCTAGGTGAAAAGGATAGTTACTTTTTATTAAAACTATGGTATAATTGGTAATAACATATTACATATTTGAATTTTTAACAGAATTTGTCTATGAAAAAAAGAAAAATTCAACAAAATCAAGTGAGTCTACTTGTTACATTTATATATGCTTACAGTTACAAATTTAAGATGCTTTCCTAATCCATGAAATGGAGGGTGTACCTTTAATTTATTCAGAATGTTCTTTTTGTCTATCACCCAAACGGTTACATGTGTATTCTAGTTTGTCTTCCTGCAATATTAACGTCAGAGTAAAATTTGCTTGACAGGCTTAGCAATGTGGCCAGAGTTAAAAACTTTCTTGTCAGGGATATATAAATTTGGTTCTCAGATTGCTGATTTGATTAAACAGCAGTTGTACCAATTTTCCAGGTGCCATTAATACTGATAAGGACAGTTCTTATGCCAACTCACTTATATAGCCAACTCACATAAAAAGCAACATTTTGAGTTGCCTGTTTGTGTGGAAAACTTACCAGAAGGATTTGGTGATTCAGTGAAGGTGAAAAGGTGCTTCAGATCATGCAGCATTACAGGAAAGGTGAAACCGCTTTAAAAAGCTACAGATAGGATTATGTGGCTCTTCCCACATACCCTGAAGAACTTTTTCCATGTTATTTCTGAAGCATTAATTAGCAGTTTCATGGATTCCACACAAATCAGAATCTGACTAAAGCAGTTTTTATTGAAATAATGTACTTCAAATTGCACTTTTTCTAAGATTGGCTTTCAATTTATAAGGCCAGCATTTTGTTTAACAGTTCATTAATAATTTGAAAAAAAATTAATCGACAAAGTCTTTTTCTCTGTGTGTTCTAATACTAAACTTTTAAAATTATTATGGAGATTTTCCTGCTATAGCCATTAGCACTTAAGTCGGGAATTAACTTTACATTCATTAGAGCTATACAATATTTCAGAAATAATTTAGAAAATTATTGAGACATAAGGAAGCATGGATGTAATGCCTTTTAAAACTGTTTCCCCTCCCTCAGGATTTGTAGCTGCTTTCTTTAACTGCCATGTAATACTCACAAAATGTGGCTACTTTAAAAAGTTGTAGGTAGGTGCTAAGTTTCTATTCAGGTGCACCTTTTTGTAATTGAATCCAAGGTTTTGACATATTTGACACCATGTGATTCTCACACATATATCTAATGGTAGCTTCAGTGCTATTGTTACTTTGAATTACAGCTCACTTTTTGAAAATTAGATTTAATGTTACCTGAAGACCACTATATAAAATCAGGATTCATATTATGGTTTGAAATCTAAGTTTAAATTACTGTTGCCACCAAAGTAATCTTGGATTCCAGACCATGATAAATTAATTAAGGAGGCTTTGAAACTGGTGTGGAAGATTGTAAAGATGTTGTACATCCTTTCTCCAGAATATTAACTCCATGCTTCCTCTCAAATTATTTCTTAATTTAAATGTTTTTGCTACTAATTCATAATACTAAGCTCCTGTCTTTTTCTGAATGGCAGAACTATTCTCTGGCTGAACTTGATGAGAAGATCAATGCACTCAAACAAACATTGCTGAGAAAAACAAATGAAGGGAGGCCCAAAGTGGTAAATCAGTTTCTTTGATTATGGCAATGAGACTTCATTATGCTTTCATGCATATTTAATGTTTTTAGACTAAGTACTCTTTATCTTGCTTTTATGGTAAAAACTAAATATGCACATGAATTTATTTAATTCTTATTGGAAATTTGGATTAAGTAAACTATTATTTATCTAGACTGAAAAATGAATGTTTTGGAAATAGAATTATAAATATCTCTTTTTTCATTAATGGAAAGATGGATCTGTGGAATTTTTACTAGAAAAACATAAAATATTTTGTTTTTTGTTTCGGGTGCTATGCTGATGAAACCAACAAATTTCTGTTTAAATATAATTCTGGCAAGGAGTGTTACTGAAAATGTGACTGTTTATTTCACAAAGCTACAAAGTAAATGAAGAAAAACAAAGATTTGTAACTATGAAATGTTCATGGTACCTTTAAAGAGATGAGGATTCTCCTGGTGGAGAAGAGGAGACCATCTGTAAGAAATTTCTTCATTCCCTAATAGCCTATTCTTTATGAAAGTCATATATCATTTTAAGAGAAGCAGTACTCACCAAGGTATATGCATCCCTGTCCAATTAAATGATGCCAATAGACATCTCACACTGTCTGTTTTTTTTTAAATCTTAAGTTTGAGTGTACTCAGTTTGTTGAGAGTAGGATTTCTACAGGTAAGGTATACACTCGTCTGGGAAGCCATACTGAAAGAAGGAAAAAGGGCAGTTACATTCTGAGGTCTTCATAAAGAGCCAGAATATACATTTTGCCATTACCTACTTCCTGTCAGTAGAATTTGTGCTCAACCTTTGGCCTATTGTTCTCATATCACATTTCTCAATAGATAATGGAACAATATTCCTTTCCTCCTCCCCAGAATTCTATGATAGGTATTAAACCAAATGTAGAGTAAGTAAAAAAAACATTGTGCTTTTCCCCCCAAAAAATTGTTTGTCATAAAGGATTTTGAGTAAATATTTTCTTTTCCCGTCTTTCCTGAAGGTGGACCTGATTGAGGGGAATGAGATTGATCCCAAAACGTCTTTGAAGGACTGATGTTGAAGTTACCACATTCAAACTTCGATGAAAACTACTTTCATTATGATCTGCCATGTAAAAATGTGTTCTTTTCTTCAACAATTGATTACAGTGAGCAGCATTGACATATCTTGCCATCTCCAAAATGTGCCTTTTATTCTTCTTGCAGATTTCAGTAAAATGAAGCAGGCCATATATCAGTGGCTTGTAACTAATGCGTTCATACCTGCGTTCAGATATGTCACAATTATACAAGATTGAAAACAAAATCCATCCCCATCCCAAACACCAAGTTTCTCTTTGTAGTGTTTTAGAGAGAAAAAGGGCAAATAATTCAACCGGGAGAGTTTTTGAGGCAAGCATGCTCGTATTTGTGGCATCTGTTTGTTATTTCCATCTGATCTCCGTAGGATTGAGTGGATAATAATCACAGCTAGTATAGCAGCTCTTTAATCAAATTACTTCCAGGCTAAGTTCAAGGTGCTGCTTCTCACGCCTAAAGCCTTAGACTTTTTGGGTGCAATATATCCAAGGTGATACCTCATCCTCTTACGTATTTCTCTAATTACTGAATACCCCCTTCCCCACAGCTTTTGTTGCAAGTTTGGAGGCTAAATGACATTCATAGATATATCAAGTTAACCGATTAAGCTCCCCATCAATAAATAATCGGAGACGAATCTTTACGGGAGACTATCAGGACATGTTAGGACTACATACTAGATTAGAAAGTTAAGAAAAGGAAAACATGACACCTGGAATCAAACTCAACTGGAGTGTGTCATTGCAAACAATAAGTGTTGCTGTTTCATTCTCTTGGAATTTATTACTGCTTGTGGTATTCACACTGTCCAAAAGTTTGGCATCTATCTGCATTTTAGGACAGTCTTTATCTGATCAACATTTCTACCCAAAATCAGTGGTGCCTAGACGTTTTACCATTGCACATGTTACCTTTTTGACTGAATAGCTGTGACTATGCTAGAAAAAATATAGCTGATTGTATTAATTCTTGGTCTGGCAAACTTCCAAGTTAAACATGTTATAAATGTATTACAGTAGTCCTCGAGATATGAGTATAATTGAACCTAAAATTTATGCTGCTATGTGAAATTTGTTAAGTGAGTTTTGCCCCATTTCACAACTTTTCTTGCCATTGTTGTTAAATTATTGTGTTTGTTAAGTTAGTCCCATGGTGGTTAAGTGAATGTGGATTCCCCATTGACTTTGCTTGTCAGAAGGTAGCAGAAGCCGATTACATGACCCTAGGACACTGCAATCGTCATTAATGTGAACCAGTTGCCAAGCATCTGAATTTTGATCGTGCAATCATAGGGATGCTACAACGGTTGTTAAGTGTGAAAAATGGCCATAAGTCACTTTTTACGTGCCATTGTAACTTTGACAGGTCACTAAATGAACTGTTGTAAGTCGAAACTACCTGTATATGGCTGTAGTTGAAGAGAATTCCAATTAATTTGAAATACAAGCAAATGATTTAAATAAGCCTGGGTTTTAGGATAATGTTAAATCTATGCTTTTCAAACATACTGCTGCATATTATCAGTTAGGATCGAAATATCTGAAGGAATATTAAATTCCACTTATCTGGCCAGTAGATTAAAATCTGTAAAATAGCTGCTACTTTGGGTGCCATAACCTATGGAGGAATAGTCCATTTTCATAAGGAGCTAATTTGCACATAGGGCTCTACCCCGGCCATGGAATGTTGTCCCCAAGGAGCTATGAGAGTTTCTCTTGGCTTGCATTCTCTCTTGATTAAGCAATGCTACTCTTTCTTTGGAAGTTTTGATATCATTATGATTATCTAATGCAATTCAGTTTAACCGAAATACATTATAAAGCACTAAATAAAAATATTGAAGAACAAAACTGAATAGGAAAAAAGAGAAAACAAAACGTTACACAGATGTGACAGGTTTTAATGGAATTCAGAGAAAGCACACAGTGGTAGTGATTAATCATAGTTGACTCTGAGCCAATCAGCTAATGATTTCAAATTTTAAATGATAATTTGGATAATAATTTTGGAGGAAAGAAGAAAGTGAAACTTGCAGTCTGCAGAGGGATGGGAGTGAGGATATCTCAACTCATCAGATCTTTTTTTTTTTAATGTCTTTTGCCTGACCTCCTAGGTCAGGGGTGTCAAACTTGCATCATCACAGCGGGGTCATGTGATATATTGGGACTTTTCCCCCCTTTGCTAAACCGGGCGGGGCCTGCACCCACTAGATGCTCATGAGTGACTAACATATTCTGGGGCTCCCTTAATATATAGAAAATATATAGAATTTTATATTTGGATCAAAAACTCCTTTATCATCCATGCTCCATGATGGATACATATTAAAATTACTTTTCTCAAAACGTAATTGGGTTCTCAGTAGCAGATCCACCTATATACATTGCCATTAGAGCTTTCGTCTAGTAGCAAGAGATACCACAAAGAGCCATCTAAAAGGTTTAGCGTTACTCTTTTTATTCTTCTGTGTAAATTCAAGCAGTTGTTAAAATATATTGAGCAATAATTTTTTCACACACAAAGGGATTCTGCCTGGCATGATTTAAGATATATACCTCCTCCACACTTCATATTATTTCAAACCATAGAGCTGTCGTCTTTTTTCTATGCCATAATCTCACGGACCTGTGAATTAGATCCTGTGAATTATAACTGGAGTGTATTAGAACGTTCTTCATTTTACACACAATAGTAGCACCCTTTATTTGAATCTATACAAGTGATTCAATGCTTATAAAATCAGTATCCAAGGGAAGAGGATAATTATTCTTGCCCTCTTCAAGTGAGTGCTTTGATGCCTGAGAATGGAAAGGGTGGTTCTCATCTGTATTAACAGAATAGGAAGAACACTAGAATTTCACAGCCTAAACTACAGGACGGAACATTTTTACAAAGGAGTAAAATCACTTTTCTTCCATGTTTTGCAGTTACCTGTGTGTACAGCTTCAAAGAGCCATCAGTGCTGGTTTGGTTGTTGTTATGTCTGTTTTTACAACATCTTTCATTCCTAATAGAATAAACTGTCAATAACCCTATATAGACCTGTTTGCCTTGCATTTTTGTTCTTCGTTTTATTTTGTAAATTGCCTCCAGTAATGATAGAACAGGATGGCCTGTACATTTAATAAACAAACAAACAAATAAATGACCACATCATCTCGTTTTGTAAAAGCCATTTGTGCTGTTTAAAAATAGTATTTTTTTTAATCCTATTTGAATACTGAAGTATTCCCGATGGGTAATCTAACATACTGATTGGTCTTCTGTTGTTGTCTAATTCTGGAATATCTGCTTTGCAGTCAGTTCTTCAGGGAAAGGAGTGGTTCATCTCTAGGAGACTAATTTTCTATAGCTGAGTGCAGGATTTTAATAAATAAACCCAAAAGTGAAGTGCCTATTTGAACAGCCCTCATATCAGCAGGAAATATGAGTGGCTTGGGAAATTTGAACCATTCAGTATTCTGTCTAACATTGTTAAGAACAGTAATAGATTTTTTTCCTCAATAAACATAAGTGATCTCTTTGTTTGATTTTAATTAAGGAACTGTACTACCACTGAGTAGTTTTCACTCCTAAATGCTAAGCAAATAATTTAGAATAAAAACTTAAGAGGTAAGCAGATTTTAAATAAATAAATAAAATTATGCTTGTCAAAGAGAACACACACACATACACAGTTCCCACTGGACCAACCCTACCATTAATCAGAATGAGCCAGTTCTTAAGCAGCACATATGCAGCATGAAGGCGACATATAATAGAAAGCTGTTTATTGGGTAGGATTAGGGTTGCTACAAGTGGGCTGCAAAAATCTAGACAACCACGAGATGGCAGCAAACATCTCTGCTCCCATCTAGAGATCATCTGGAATATTACAGTCCAGGTGTAGAGAGACTACAGAATGGTAAGTATGAGTGAGCTTGACCTAAACAATCCTAAGAATGTGCTTCCTTCAAGTATGGTACATCTTGATTTTTCCCTTTTGCTGATTTTAATTAAAATTAAATTGTTTTTCAATAAGGGAGATTTCAAATTGTTACCACCACTATGGGCATAAACCTGTCAGTTTTGAGGGAGAAGTAACACATTTCCAAAAAATGACATGTGTTCATAAAGTAGATGATAATATAAATCAAAAGAAACAGAATTTGTTATTTTTAGTGCTGTATAGAAAGTTGGGAGGGAGAGTGATATGGTGACCTAGTGGTGAAGATACTCGCCTCCCACTCAGAAGATTGAGAGTGCAATCCTAGGTAGTGGCAGATGTTTCTCTCCTAGGGTGGAAAGAAAAAAATATCTGCTGTGAACTCTGCATGGTGTGAGGAAGGGCATCTGGCCAGTAAATGCTCAGCTTCATCCAGTTGTACCAACTCTACCCCGAATTAAAGGATTCCAGGGTTGCAAGAAAAAAAAAGTTGGGAGAGGATATAAACTGAATGACACCCACAATGTGCTTTGTTGAATTGATACTGACAGGAGTGATCACATCAGTTGGGTTATTAGCCCAGCCCAGAATTAAGACATTGCTTGTGCGTGGGTGGGTTTCTCATAATTTCCCTCCCAAATGTATACATATACAGAGTTTACGCACATGCAAGTATATCATATTAAGTGCATAACAGGTAGAGAACTTAGAAAAGTAGCTTTGGTAGTAGGATGAAGATACCATCATGAACAGTAGGTGAAAAAAGGAACTATTTATTTGCATTCATATCTGGGCAGGTGCTGAGAATCAAGCCACTCAGAGTCGGTATTGACAAACTCTCCACTCAATTGCAAAAGGCAGCTTTACTCAGCTTATATCCTGCAGCTTATATCCTGAGACAATACCTTTTAAGATTTCCACATTGGCCTATCCCAGTGCTTGGGAAGACTCGATAGGTGGGCAAAATGCTAAATCCAGTCTGAACACCTGTCTGACTGTGCAATGAACAATAAAAACCAAATGACACAAGGGACCAATGTGTTTTTATTTGATTTATTACGGACACAACACTATACTCCAGAAATTTCAGATTCTATTGCTACAAGTTCTAAATAGTAACATACAGTGAGTTGCCTACTAGGTTTTTGGGGATATGTAGATGAAAATGTCATAAAATGGTGACCTAGTAATGGAAATGAATATATTCATAAATCTGAAACAAATGATTTATTGTGATGTTTTGCAGAATTGCAAAATTAAATCTTGAATTAGACTTGTGCACGTCTATGTTAATACTGTGGAGTTCTTGGTGTTCTCTGAGGTTAGTGGTTTACTTGCAGATATTTCATTATCCACCTAAGTAATATTAGCACTGTGTTAATGCTATTAGAAGCTATTAAGTTAAAACTTGTAACCTGATCACATTTGCTTGTAGTGTTAGAATGAAACAGTAGTTTCAAGTGATAGACCCTGGAAAGGTAGAACCATAACCAGCTGATACATGCCTCTGGCCTGTAGTGCATCACCTAATCCAATTGGCTATCTTCAGACATTACAAACAATTCAGCTGTGAGTTTTGAGCTTCTCAGGGATGTCTACAGGGTACGGTCAAAAGATCAAGAAGGTGTCTATAACTGTGCTGTGGAAACTGCTGTTCTTTATGCATATCATGTCTGCAGCACACATACGCAGATGGAATTTTAATTGCATCAATTTGGCTATACTGCGTAGACAAACTTGTCAGCTTCCAAACCTTGGCTGGTAGAGCCGATCTTATTCTTCACTTCAATAGCAAATCCTTCAGCCAGACCTGGGTGTCCTTTACTATGCAGAACTACAAATTGCAAACTGTTCATGGTTTGAAAAATCAATAGAACTTATTTTCTGGGACATATTCAAAAAAGTCCTACTTCTGTTTTTATTTTATTTTTAATATTTACGTTGATTCCTGAACACTTAAAAGCCACAAAAACAGTGCTATGCACATTATCAAATATGATATGGGGAAATTATATCATTTATAATACTAATATATAATACTATTTAATATATGGTTATAATTAATTACTTAGGGCTGTACAAGGTTCAGAGACAAAGTTTTCAGCCACTGAAAGCTTGACGCAAAGCTTTGATCAAAATGCCACTTGGAGTTGTTCCATAAGATGACATCTGATAGAGAAACAGCAGGTAAAGAACACCATAAGATATGAAGAAC